TATATATATATATATCTTTCATTCTGAAAGACCTTAAACCACTTGACAACCAATACAAGATATTTCACGAGTGTGCACATAACTCATGGTAGTTAGATTTAAAATTCAGCAGCTCTGGGGAGGAATGATGACAATCAGTGCGTAACATACCAAATGTGGAGGAGAGAAAGAAAAATTTTAGCAAAGGACATGGAGCAAGTCCCTGGCCTAACAAAAAGCATTATGGGATCCTCAGTAATGGAGGTCCTATCTGTGTAGAATTAACCCCATATATGCAAACCACTAAGCATCCACTAGTCTGAAATGTCAAATATTTCCCCTTTTTGCTTTAATGAACCCCCTCAGGATTAATTTTCTCCATATCTTCTTCTGAGAGTTGGATTGCTCTAACCCAAAGGAATAGAGAAGCATTTTGTAGATTTTTAGGCATCACATGGTACAGCTCCAGGCCTGGAAGAAGGACCTGTTCACAAAGGCCTTTATTTTTTTTAGCTGAACTTAAATAGAAGTCCTTTCATAGAGAAGCATACAGGCAGTATAGAAACTGACCTGTTCTAAGGGCATGCACAAAGAGAAGCGCTTCTGGTTTCAGGAACATTTGAAGACAGACACTGGCTCTCTTCTTCTCATAAAATAGGTAACATCACTGCCAAATGTTCCTCTGTGTAAATAAATCAGTAAATAAATTACCAGGGCAGCTGCAGCCATCAGCACATTGTCCTTGACACACTTCATTGATATTCAGACTCTGGCAGGTTTTGACACAAGGAGACACACACTCCATATACTCCATGCCAACTGGACATCTCGGCCCTGAAACAATTAAATAAAATTAGAAATATATATCCCTTAATAACTGTTAATCTCTTTAATTACTATAAAATGAACGACCAGGGTCAGAGAAGAGGTCAGATCCACTCTGATCAATTATTTCATTTTCGGGAACAAAATATTTAATGGATGTTAATTTTGTTGCTTAATGTGACAGTTGAATCTTCCACTTTGATTTATACAAGAACACGACCCTAGTGAAATCGTGTATATATCACCAACAGAAGATGGTCCAGTAAAAGATATTCCCTCACCAACCTTGTCACTTTGTTCTACATACATGTTTAAGGCACACGAAAAAAACCCTGTGTTTTTTCACAGAACCTATATCATACACCGAAAGAAAGCAAATTACGTGACGACAATTCTGAGTGGGCTCCATGTGTGATCCATCACTGAGGAAAGTCCTGCCATGTTATTTAGCTGCTTGCCACACACAAATAGGTTATATTCCTCCAAAAGACTTGCAGTACCCAGCTCACTCACTGTGTTGCACTGATGCCTTGTATTGCTAGAGAGTAGTGAATCAGGTGAGGGACCTCGAAATCCCAGAATACCGCTAGGAGCTGCCCCAGCCTCAGTGTGAATGTGTTCATGAATGCACACATCTCCAGGGCTTCTCTTATCAACTATCATCAAATTTCCTGTTAATTCTGCTTCCCAGTGACTTTACTCGTGGGACATACGCATCATGACACAGGCAATTTTCCCCATAATGCTTGTATTAAATGGCCATGTGATAACTACATTGGTTTGCACTGACAACACTACACCATGCAAGCAGAGTTTCTTTGTGGGGCACAATATTCAGTAAAAATAAACACAAAAAAAAGCAATGTCCTCACATTAGGATTAGTGATAGAGATGTAGCCGTGTTAGTCTGGGGTAGTTGAAGCAAAATGCAGGACAATGTAGCACTTTAAAGACTAACAAGATGGTTTATTAGATGATGAGCTTTCGTGGGCCAGACCCACTTCCTCAGATCAAATAGTGGAAGAAAGTAGTCACAACCATATATACCAAAGGATACAATTAAAAAAAATGAACAAATATGAAAAGGATGCAATGTGATTTGTCCTTTTCATATGTGTTCCTTTTTTTTAATTGTATCCTTTGGTATATATGGTTGTGACTATTTTCTTCCACTATTTGATCTGAGGAAGTGGGTCTGGCCCACGAAAGCTCATCATCTAATAAACCATCTTGTTAGTCTTTAAAGTGCTACATTGTCCTGCATTTTGCTATCTGTGTTGAGTCTTACATACAGTAATGCACGAAACTCTGGGTATCTAAAAGACTGCAATAATCCTGATGCAGGCAGAACATGGGATCTGAAGAACACTAGGTATTTTAAACACAATGGGTTAGATTTGCAAGACACCTCAAGCAGCCAAAAACATTTTAAACATATATTTGCTCTGCTGTACAGCAGCATAATAGAGCCCTTGCTATGCTTTAAGCAATGCTAGTTATATAACAGGACTTGCTGCAGAACTGCTTCCTTTTCGGTGTTATTTCTTAAAAAATAAACAAATGAAAGAAAAACTGCCCCAAAACAAAAACAAAACAAAATCCTAGTCCTGACAAGAAATAAAAGTTATGCTACTTTGGACAGATTTCAAACCTTGAGGATGGAGAATGAAAATAAAATGAATATTCTTCTATATGACTCTGAACCTACCTTCATTTCAGTAAATGCCAAACCACACACAGAATAAATGTTACATTATATGTAGCAAGAGAACAGTCAATTATATAAGGCCTTTGAATGACAGGGTCCTGCCACTTCAGACTTATACAAGTCCCATTCAACCAACTGTCTCCCAGGAAAATTGCCACAGAGGGTGTGTCTACACAGCAGTGTTATTTTGGAATAAGAATAAGTTACTCACCCTGTGAAGTAACGATTGTTCTTCGAGATGTGCCCCATGGTGCACCACACTAGGTATCATGTCCTGTCCCGGCGCTGCGGCTTGAAGATTTCTCATAGCTGTGCTATGCCAGCTTGCGCATGCGTGCTTCCCCAGCGAGGCGTTTGCGCCTTTGATCAGCCGCGCGCAAGCCGACAACCATTAGTTCTTCTCACCTGCTCATCTGAAAGAAACAAATAAACAATTCCGGAGCGGGGAGGAAGGGCGGGTCATGGAGCACCCACGGGGCACATCTCGAAGAACAATCGTTACTTCACAGGGTGAGTAACTTCTTCTTCTTCTTCGAGTGGCCCCATGGGTGCTTCACTCTAGGTGACTCTGGAGCAGTATCTAGGACAGAGTTAGAGCGCTCCGGAATCAAGACTACTAGCATGATTAAGTGCTGTTGTAGCCACATTGTCCGTCAAAATCCTGGTAGTTGTATTCCGAATCTGCGACCGAAAATGCTTGCAAGCATGGCATACCGCTCTCAACTCGAGGACATTGATATGTAATAGCATTACCTGTGTCGACCATCGTCCCTGGACTGTGCAACTGTCCATGTGAGCTCCCCAACCCGTTAGGGAAGCATCTGTTATCTGTTTTGTAGGTTGTGGGCGATGAAACGGGATGCCCACAAGAAGATTGGCCAGGTTGACCCACCACTGTAGGGACTCCCGGACATACTGCGGCACCACTATTGGCCTATGAACACTGTGCTTCACTGGAACATAAACAGTGGCCAGGCAGTGTTGGAGGCAACGAAAACGTAACCTTGTGTTGTGTACTACAACGGTAGCAGCAGCCATATGCCCCATCAACTGTAGACAGACGCACGTGGGAATTGTCGGAGCGTGTACTACAGTGTGCGCCATCTTTGATCGCCATAAAACATTCCGTTGGTAAGTATGCTTGTGCCATGGTGGAATCGAGTCGTGCGCCTATAAAAGATGAGGTTGTGGGATGGAACTAGTGATGACTTCTTCACATTTATGAAGGCCCAGAGCAGCAAATGTGCTGGACACTGTTCAAACCATATGACATATTTCTGAATACGTCGTGCCTCAGAAGAGGCAATCGTCCAAATAGGGGAAGATTGTCACTCCCAATCTGCGCAGATGGGCCGCAACCACTGCCAACGTTTTGGTGAAAACCCTGGGAGCACATGCCAGATCGAAGGGCAGGACTTTGTATTGATAGTGCTCGTTCCCCGATTGAAAATGGAGGAAACGTCTGTGAGCCATGTGGAAATAAGCGTCTTGTAAGTCGAGGACTGCAAGCCAATCCCCTTTGTTCAAGGATGGAATGATAGTTGTTAAGGTTACCATCTTGAAACGAAACATCCAAAGGTGCCGATTTAGCTTTCAAAGGTCTAGAATGGGTCTCCAGCCTCCCGACTTTTTTGGTGTGAGAAAATATCGGGAATAAAAGTCTTTTCCCCAGAACTGCTTGGGAACTCTCTCTATTGCCCCAATGGCGAGCAAATGTTGAACTTCCTGTTGCAGCAGTTGCTCATGAGAGTGGTCCCTGAAAAGGGACGGGGCAAGGGGATTGGTAGGGGGAATAGAGAGAAAGGGAGTGGAGAAGCTGGACTGCACTACTTCTAGTACCCATCTGTCCGTGATGATGTCGGACCAACGATGGTAAAATGACCGTAGGCGCTGACGGAAAAGATGGATAGTCTCATCTTCCATGTTGATTGGAGGTAGCTGGCTTGTATCCTCGACAGACAAGTCAAATTTGATGCTTAGTTGACGATTGATAGGTTGAATGGCCCCGTTGGGGTCGTTTGCACTGAGGACATTGTCTAGGGCGTTGATTGTCAAAGGGACATGATTGTTGTCTGGAGAAATTAAAATCATATCTTCGTTGATAAGGAAAATAACATCTACGTTTGAAGGAGGTAGTATACATCCCAAGTGTATGTAGAGTGGTGCGTGAATCTTTTCCCGAGTGGAGGACTTCGTCGCTGTTCGCTGCAAAAAGCTTAAGCTTGTCAAACGGTAGGTCCTCAACTTTGCTTTGCATCTCCTTTGGGGCTCCTGCAGATGACAGCCATGATGATCTCGCAATACCTGTGGCAGTAGCTCTAGCCGCTGTGTCAGCTATGTCCATGGCTATCTGCAGTGCCATACTACATGATGCGTACCCTTCTTGGACTATTGCCTTCAAGAGTGGCTTCTTGTTGTCCGGGAGATGATTAAGTAACTCAGCTAATTTGGAATAATTATCAAAATTATGGTTGTATAGATAGGCCGAATAATTCGCAATGCGCAGTAGAAGTGTGGCTGAGGAGCAGACATTCCTACCAAAAATGTCCAATTTTTTATTGTCCTTGTCCTTGTACTGTGGCGCTTTAGCCCTACGTTGTGCTGCATCCACTACTAACGAGTTACGCTAAGGATGACTGAACAAGACGTCCAATCCTTTCACCGATACAAAATACTTTGTCGGCCTTTTTAACTCGTAGGTGTAACCGATGTTGGGGTCTGCCATATCTCATGCACCACTTCCATGATCGCATTATCAATAGGTAAGGCGATCTTTGCACGTTGTTGTGGACAGAGGTTTTTCAAGAGACGGTGCTTTTTAACCGGAACATCCATTAGCTGTATTTCCTGTGTGCCCGCCACACGTTTAAACAGGTCTTGAAATTGTTTCAGATCATCCGGCGGAGAGACATCAGCTGGAAATATCGCCTCATCCGGAGATGATGAGGAGCAGTCTGCTGGAGAAGTTTCTGGTTTGGGGTCTTCAACATCAGACAACTGCCCTCTTCAGGCACGGACTGGTCTAGTTGGATCGTTGGACTCTTAGATGGAGAAGGTGAGTCTAGGTGCTGTGACTGATGAGGTAAGTATTTTGCACTCGATGGTTGACAAATGCAGGAGGATCCCCTACGGGAGGATGATGTACGATCACAGCGGGGAGGATCATCATATAGTCTATGGTAGCTATCATAGCGCTCAAAACACAATGGGGAGGAGTGGCGTGACAAACATGCACTACCATGCTGGATATAATAGACGCAGCTTGGGGAGTATCTATCAGACTCATATCTTGAGGATCGACTGGGTGAGCGGGACCGACGTGTTTCTAGATACACAGCATCCCTATAATTACGCTGTCCATACTTGACCCGTGTAGGAGAAGCACTATAGTCACGATAGCGAGCGTACCAGGGATCTGTTTCTATAATGAGTCTTTGATAATGCCTTCCTATGTAGGGAGGTGTCTTCCGCCCTCACAGCCACAGGAGAGCCAGGCACCGAATGGCAGTGGAGCAGTGCTGGGGAAAGCAGCTGTTGCTGCGTTGATGCTGGTGCTGGCAGAATGCCCGGTGCCGGAGTCAGCAGTGGTGCCGGGGCTGAGGCATCAAGACCTTCTGCCTCGGAGCCTGGTGCCAGAGGAGACGGTGCCGTCATAAGTGGGGCTGGTGAGGCAGGCGCTGTTATAGCCGGTGCTGCTGAAGCCAGTGCAGAGCGGCTGGTGAATTGTGGCACCGGCGTCAATTTCACAGAACGCACAGCTGAGGCCAGTGCAGACTTGCCGGCTAGCTGCGGCACCGCTCCTGATCTCGGTGGTGGAGGCTCTCTCATGGCCGCCCAGGCAGATTGTCCAGACCCCCCGGGGGTCATTTTGGATGCCCCTGAAGCCATTGCAGCTGCTGAAGGGAGGGATCGCGCTGGGGACGGCTTCGATCACTTTGAGCCGGCTGGTCCCAGGGAAGCCGCCCTATGTTTTTGTTCGGGGGCTTTTGTGGCTGCGGGAGGGATCGAGTCAGGCTGCAACGCCTTCCCGAACATCAGCATGCGGATCTTCATCTCCCGCTCCCTCCAGGCTCCCGATGTTAATTTTCTACAATGGGTGCACTTCTCGGGGACATGAGCTTCCCCCAGACACCTAATGCAGGTGTCATGGCATGCCAAACACTTTTTAAAACCAGTTGATCCAGGCATTTTCAGAATGAGTACAGAATAAATGCCTGTATAAGCCCCATGTGAAGCCTTGGCAATTTCACTTTTAGTGCTTTGCGCAGCACTTTAAGAGAAGCGGCTTGAGGAAAAAAACTTTTTTTTTTTTTTTTTTTAAACTCTCTTATGAACAGGAGAACAAACTAACAGGAACATGACTAATACTAACAAATTTAACTATTTACAGATGCAAAAACTGACTGAAAACATTCTAAAGACAAAATACTCAGGGAGCTCAGACCGTGACCTGAGACGGTTGAGAGGAACTGACGGTTGTCGGCTCGCACGCGGCTGATCAAAGGGGCGAACGCCTCACTGGGGAAGCACGCATGCACGAGCCGGCGAAGTACGGCTATGAGAAATCTCTGAGCTGCGGCGCCGGGACGGGACCTGACACCTAGAGCGGAGCACCCACGGGGCCATTTGAAGAAGAAGTGACATAATTCTGAAATAATACAGCCCGTGTCTACACTACAAGCAGTTATTTTGACAATGTCGAAATAATGGTGAGCTGGAAGACTTCTTACTCCAACTCCTGTATGAGGAGTAAGGGAAGTCAGACGAAGAGTGCTCTTTCTTGGACTTCCTGCTGTGTAGACAGTGTCAAAAGCCAAAATAAAGCTACGCAATTGATGTAGCTCAAGTTGCATAGCTTATTTCTGGTTTAGCCCTGCTATCTAGACATGCCCAGAGAATTTTCCCCAAAGATCTTGATAGCCATTACATGCCACATGTAGTATCTTCTTTTACTGCTATATTTATAAACTGTACACTTTATTAATGGAAGAAAACAAACAAAACCGCTTTTTGGATTATTTGGAAATTGTTATAAACTTTAGCACAATGACAGATCTGCCTATGAAATTAGGATATAGAAAATGTATCTTCCTCTTTAACATAACAAGTGGCCTTAGAACATTTATTATTTCTCATACAAAGTGGGAAAATAAGATAATAATGCATGAACTTTTGAAATGCTAGAAGGACTATTTCATAGATGAGTTTGCCAATCTAATTAATCAGAAGAAGTGAAAATACATTTGTGGTAAGGACAGGAGTAGATGGAATCACAGGTGATCTGTTGCCAGAGTCTGCCATAAAGGGAGATACTACAGGTTGGAACTTCCTGATCTGGCATCCTCAGGACCTGACCAATCCCAAATGAGGGAGTTTGCCAGACCAGGGGAGGTCAATTCTGGATGCTCCGCTGATGGAACTTAGGCTGTCATGGGGTCTGTCAGCAGACCTGGCTGGACTCCCCTTCCAGGCCACCAGGCTCCACTGCAAATCTGGCCACCAGCCCTGGGCTACCAGGCTCCCTGCCCCAGGGCTGCCAACCTGGGCTCCCTGCTCCCAATCACTGGACTCCCAACTGCTGGGGCTCTCTGGTTCAGAACATGGATATTGCCGGACCACAGTCCTGGACCAGAGAGGTTCAACCTGTACCTACATTGTGGAATTACCTTGGGAAAAATGGAAAGTAATTCTGTAGATCAGTAAACCCCATTTACCACTGCATAGGATTGGAGGCGCTGTATATCACAAATAACTTCACTTATCTGTACTGAAATAGCACGGCAATTTTGGAATCTTAACAGCTGCCATTTCCCAATAAGCAGTATAAAATACAATTTGTGGCAATTCAGAGGATGAAAGTTTCCTAACTTACCCATTGGTTCCAAAGACTGTAGTTTATTGGATGAAGGTGCATGGAACATCTCTGGGATTTTATCCCATGTGGTATTCTGAAGTCTGTTTGTTGTTGAGCTGGTCATTTTCTGCACGGATTGAGAATTGACTTCACTATCCTCTCCGTTATAATTTAAATCTACACAAATGGATGTGTCTGGAGTGTCAGCAGGTTTTTCTTTACCTTCAGTTGGCTCCTGAAACACACAAATGGGGTTAACACAAGCATTGGGAGAAGTCTACTAGTTTTCCAGTTAAGTGTCAAATGATTTTCGCATTAAGAATTAGAATCCACAAAATTAAGAAATTGCTAACCATACGTTTGAACTACATGAGCCACATGTCAGCCACTTGTTGAGGTCCTTGTGAAATATAAGGCACTTCAGAAGCTGAGTTGCATGGAATTCCAGGTGTTCTGGGAGTAAAACTGCAATGTGATGCAATGGCTGGAAATATGTAACCAGATATGGGAAGGCCTATGCAAGTACTGTATATAGAGAAGGTACAGTCTTGGGGAAGCATAACCTAGGCACACTGAAGACCCAAGGGTTGCAAAGAGGAGCCAAAAAATGAATAAAGTGAGAAATGCTGGACATTATGCCAGAAATATTTTGAGAGGAACTGTGACTATTATTTGTGAAGAACAGGAAGACAGGTTACATCTCTGGTTTGAATTAGAGAGACAGAAGAACTATAGTATAGGTAGAGTACTTACAATCCTTTTTTTGCACCTAACACAAATCACAGAGATATTACTTGCCAAGGAAATCTTTATAGCTCACTGAACAATTGCAGCATAGCATTCTGCTCATCAAAATAACTTAGTAAACCACATTTCCAACACTGTTTTGAGCTCCTAGCTATAGCAACACAGTACAGAACATGAGCGTGAAATAATTGGTAAGACTTCTAGGAAAGGTTCCTGCTGTACAATTTTTCAGAGTAACAAGACACTGCTGAAGTCAGCACAGATTGCTTTGGAAGGATACTGACTGAAGGGGTTTGACAGATGCGGATAACAAGGGAGTTGTCATCCAATTTACAATAATGTTAATAGACTATGAATAAATGAATTGTTAAATAAATTCCAGTGGCATGGAGACAGGTTATTCAGCAATAGGTTAAGATGCATTTTTGTGTCCCTAATATTAGTGGCATGAAAAACAAAAGGATAAAACACTTTCCATTAGTTTAACCAAACAAGGACACTTGCAAATATTTTTATTTAAATAATTTAATACTGAAAAATTTAAGAAATAAAATTTCTTAGTAACAGTTCTTAAACAGTACTTTTTGCTAAAGCTTTATATGTTTGTTTTTAAATTTTATTTCTTTTAAGTAAATATTCATGTGTGACCATTAAAAGAGTGTTTGCGTTTATCCTTAATGAAGAGTTCTTAAAAATAAATTCTAACAAAGAATAATCTGTACTAAATTATAAAAATCAGGGAGATTGGGATTGCTAGCTATCCAGGGCCCCGATTCTGCAAAGTTTATTATGATTATGCATATTCTTAAATGATTACGTAACAGAGAATAATTCAGACCACGCAGGTCTTCTAATAACTAGCCACTTAAACGTTGGTAACATTGGTAATTCTATACAATTACTAAAAATTACAACAAATTTTAATACCCGTAGGCAAATCTTACCGCATTTCTATTTGAGGGTTTTGAATGTGTGTGTCTTTTGTTAATACTATAAAATATAAAAATGCTGACACTGTTCCATACACACCATTGTGAGCGGAGTCAATGGAGCTGTGCTGAACCACAACAAAATAAGTCCTAAAGAGTCTTAAATTATGGTGGTCAGTTGCTGAATTACTTATACATTTAATTCTGTAAAGAAACATGTACTCCCTCAATCATAGAATCATAGAATGCTAGGACTAGAAGGGACCTCGAGAGGTCATCGAGTCCAGTCCCCTGCCCTCATGGCAGGACCAAATACTGTCTAGACCATCCCTGATAGACATTTATCTAACCTACTCTTAAATATTTCCAGAGATGGGGATTCCACAACCTCCCTGGGCAACTATTATACCTTGAGATGACTTACTGGATTTATTTTGGTTTCACAGCGTAAGCAACGGATCATGGCATTGACGTTTGTGATGCAGGTTTTCCAGTCTCTTCCATATTCACTCAGGTCATAATTTGGGAAATGAGTTGCAAGAAATTCTGCAAACAAAATATCAGAAGTCTTTTAAACTAAATGTCAGAATTTCTTTTAAACTATAAAGAAGCACTAAAGAAAGATGTAGTCATATAAGACAACACAATGAGATCAATTTCAAGTGTTTACCGAGGTTGTCAAAGAGTTTTAGATTTTAGTTTACATTAAGGAAATGTACAGTACAGTGAAACCTTTGTTATCCAGCACTCTGTTAACCAGAAAACTTTGTTAACCGACATTGCCCCCAGCTACAATACTGTCACATCTTCAGGCGCACAGGCCTGGTTTACCATGACTGGCTTAACAATTTTTTATTTAAGAAGTACTAATCATCTTTAACTCAAAATAGAAATGAGAGACTAAATGCCTCTCAGTACAAAACTACCAATATTAAAAACCCGAGTTTTACTATTATCATCCATTGGTTTTTCCTAGGTTGATGGGACCCTCAGATAACCGGAATTTAGAGATAACCAGAATGCTCTAATCCCCGAGCGTGCTGGATAACACAGGTTTTACTGTAGATGGATACTTTCTAAATAGGCAGCAGTATACTTCTTCATCACATTACAAAACTGAGATGCATTAGAAAAGCTTCCCTGTATCTGGTAGGGAGCATTTTCAAACACACAAAATCTGGCTATTAATAGAGATGAAAGGACTAGAAATGGGGCTAACATACATCAATCTATTGTTCATATGGCTTACTTGCTGCCAAGACAGAATAAACAACACCTGGGCTGTGTCCAGACTCAGGGGTTTTTTCGGGAAAAGTAGCCTTTTTCCAAAAAAACTTCACCTGCGTCTAGACTGCAGCCGTGTTCTTTCGAAATTAAATCGAAAGAACGCGGCTTTTCTTTCGACGGCGGTAAACCTCATTTCACGAGGAAGAACGCCTTCTTTCGAAAGTGCTTCTTTCGAAAGAAGGCGTTCTTCAATGTAAATAGGGCTTCTTCGAAAGAGAGCATCCAGACTCACTGGGTGCTTTCTTTCGAAAAAGCGGCTTGCTCTTTCGAAAGTTCCGCGTGTAGTCTAGACGCTCTCTTTCGAAAGAGGCTCTTTCAAAAGTATCTTTCGAAAGAGCCTCTTTCGAAAGAGGCTTGCAGTCTAGACATAGCCCTGATGTGTGAGTCTCTCAGACAATCACTGACCTAGCGAGAGAGATCTCTCATGTCCCGTCTGCTGCGGGATGCCCTACACGCAACAGTTCACTTACCTTCTTTAAAGTGCTACATAGTCCTGTTTTTTGTTTCAGAAAAAGAAGTAGTTAGTGTGTGCGTAAGATGCATGCATGTGGATTGGGAGTTGGGAAGGGCATTTCTCAAAATATTGCCACTCTCACCACTTTTCAAACAAGGAAGAAATGGAGAGTTAGGAGAAAAGAATTCTGAAATTTCCATTAATTTGTGTTTTAGGTGTGTTATGGCCTCATGATATAAAATGAATAAGATCAGCTGATTCATGAATGAGACAAGTATGAAATTTAAGAGTAATCAGAGAAACTACCATGAATATTGATAGAGTTTACAATGAACATTTGAGGGAAACTTGAGATAAAAGTTCCCCTCAAATGTTCATTGTAAACTCTTTCAATATTTCAACTAGATAAAAGTTCCCCTCAGAACCCAAAGGAGCAGACTGGAGCAATAGTCACTACTAGGTAATGTAATAGTTACTAGATAAGGACTCTCAAAAAGTAGAAGGACACAATGCAAAGTTCATAATTAAGAATTCAAGAAGACTGCTAAAGAACAAAAGTGAATACTATGTTTTGTAAATTAGCATACCTCTTACTGCAGCAACCTTGTTAGGATCCAACGTTCTGCGCCCTCGTGCACTGACACCCATAATGCTACACAGCAATGTTTCCTTGGGGAACAAGACACGGACAAGGTAGCGTGCTGCATACTTTGGTTTGGTCTTTTGTCGGGCTTTCATCAAATAGTTTCCAAGAACCTTTACATTTCTCTTTGGATCACCAACATACTCTTTGTAAAACAAAAATATTTTAAAGAGATTAACACAAATTTGTTAAAAGGAACTCTTCCCCAAACCAATTTCTCTCTTTACTTTTATGAAACAATAAATTCATATTTCCCAAACTTTCATTATCAAAACTAGGTTTACTATATATAATTACCTGTCTTTGCGCACTTATAGAAGATATAGAAATACCTTCCATTAGTATCTTCTGACTGAATAAGCATTTTTAGTTCACTTATATCAAGCACCCAATCTGATTAAACAATAGTAACAGCATTTTTAAAAAGCATTTAAGTGTGTAGGAGGCAAAATTTTCAGAATGACCTACTATGTACAAATAATTGCATACACATTTTAAAGAAAATCTCTTACAAAGGAATGAAATGCAAGTGTCCATTTTATCAGGTATGTGCAAACAAGAGTTGAGGCACCTTTGAACACTTCACCCATTATTTATATTCAATCACATTCATATTAACTTATTTTTTAAACTCAAAAATCCACCTTTCATACGATTCAGGCTATAAGCACATTATGAAGAGATTTTATATGTGTCATGTGTGCTTGCCTATGGTGAAATAGTTTGTGGAGCTCTTTTTGGTGAGCCACAAAACTAAACATTTTGGAAAAATAAGCACTGGAGGATTTTGGGGTGTCTCTCTTAGGGTGCGTCTACATAGCAGGGCTTAACTTGAAATAAGCTACTCAAATTGAGCTATGTCAATTGTGTCAATTATTTTGAAATCGCTTATTTTGAAATTGGGAGCTACTTCCCTCACTCCTCGTACAATGAAGGATACAGGATTTGGAATAAGAAGCCCCCAGCTTGACAGTATTTCAACATGATTTCAAAATCACTACCTGCTGTGTAGACGTGGACTGTTATCTCGAAATAACACTGGTTATTTTGAAATAATGTTGCTGTGTAGATATACCCTTACAAAACAGTCCACAGAATTAAAACATTTGTGAATCCCTGCTTTATCCCATTCAAGAATTAGCATTCCTTACACACAAAACAATTAAGCTGTTTTCTCAAATGCAGAACATACAGTAAGTTTTGTTCCACACTTCACCTTATGGATGACATATTCTTTATATAATTATCATAAGTATTTAAATATAAAAGAGAATATTTCATTTTCACATGGAAGGGAATTCTTAGATGCAGAGAAATTCTAACATGTTTTACTTCCATTGTAATGGTTGCTGAGATTTTACTGATGCATATTGGCTCACTATTCTGGAGTCCTAGTTGTTCTGTACTGTTGATAGCATGAGAACACAACATGAAAAAAGCTTGTATCAGTAGGATAGTGGAAGAAGGTGACAACCTTAGTGGAATTCTGAAGCATTATATCTGCTGAAACTACGATTTGTTAAAATAACCAAGTTATTCTGCACATCAGACTAACAAGTAATATGTATGACTCAACTGAGTATTTGTATTAGTTTAGTCCATACACTAATTTTTTGAATATTTATCTTCAAGTGTTAAAGTGACTTCCTGGCTTGTGTGCTCACCCAATAGCTTTATTCAGAAAGCTGCAAATATTAATCCACTTTTAAAATGCAAAATGAAAATTAAAATCTGCTCCATTTATTTTGTTAGAGGGAAAAAAGGAGCACCTTATGCATGCATTTTGTTCACTGTAATTTTCCACTCTAATGAGCATACGTGACTTGTAACTCACCAAAACTAGGATTGATAGAGACAGAAGAAGATGGCACTTCTTTACTAATATTTGCACTTCCTGGTGAGGTTGTATAATTCATCATCATGGTGCTTCTCCCCAGATTGGTTTCAGGTGGGGTAGGTATCACTGATGACACCATTGAGGAACCCACTGCTGAAGTTGCTGTATTGGCAGTGCTCTCCACGACTGTGGTTACAAGATTTGGCTGTGGAGGAAGGTCAGGGATCCTGTTAGCCACTGAGTATGAGGGTTGAAGTGAGTGAGTGGAGACGATAGTGGGTAGAGGCGGGCTCTGCCTAAGCACAGGTTGTTGTGATTCATGTTGAAGAGTTTGTTGAACAGGTTTTATTGCCGAATTGGCCTGGAGATGGCTCTTTTGTAGCCTAACCCTCATTGATGTGCTATATCCTCCTTGTCCTGGGGCAGAGATGTGGAGATTTGACTCTCTTTCCATTGGTTTCTGTACTTTAATTTTTCCATGAGAGAAATGATTGGAACTTCTGTATGTAAATCCAACGGGCCTCTGCAAATACAATTGGAAAACAATAATTAAGGTAAATCTGCACAAATCTGTTTTTTTTTTCCTTTGTGAACAAGAGAGGCTGGACCTCAGCCTAAGCATTTGGCATTAACTAAGCCTTTTCAGAAAGATAGCACCAATCTCCTGACTATCAATTTAACTATTGCATACTTTTCCATCTCTACCATCACTGATTTCCACTTAGCGTCCAGACACCAACATAGCATTTTTCTCGAGTGTACATTGTTTTTAAAGTTCTCTCCAATCACCTGTTACCATAACATTCTTTCAAGAGCTAAATAAAAAGGTAATAAGGAACAGGCAGTACGTGTTGTTAGTCAATAATGGGTTTGTTTTTATACAATATTTGCTTAAAAATTGGTCAGCTGGCATGATCCCTAACATGCTAAGCAATAAGTTGATGTATCTGCTGCTGCGTTAAAGGACAAATATTTGATTTTTTACCTTTTATTTTGGTTGGAGTCTTTACAACGTATAATGTAGGCTGAAAAAGAGGTTACTCACCTTCCTATAACTGATGTTCTTTGAGATGAGCATCCTAAGGGGTGCTCCACATTTAAGTGCTGAGTGTTCCAGCGCCTCTCAATGGATTTTTCTTTAGCAGTGCATAGGGGCCATGCATGCGCGGGGGCCTCCGCCGGTGCCATTGTGCATGCGTGGCTCCCCCTCTCTTCAGTTCCTTCTCTATCCAGAATCCAGCAAAGGATGTTTTAGGTCTTATTACTAAGAGTGTCCAAAGTAGAGGGGAGGAAGGGAGGGTAGTGGAGCACCCCCAGGGACGCTCATCTCGAAGAACATCAGTTACAGGAAGGTGAGTAACCTCCTCCTCTTCTTTGAGGGGTGTCTTTGGGGGTGCTCCACATTAGATGACTACAAAGCAATACATTCTATGGAGGTAGGGACTTCGGATCTGGTAAGCATGCCATTTGTAATACAGTGTTTGATAGTTTAGTATTCTGGAGAGGCTCCAAGGAAAGTGCGTAGTGCCTTGCAAAAGTGTTTTCTGATATCCACGTGGCTGCTGCACATATGTCATCCTTGGGAACTTTC